ACCCGCCGCAAGACCGTAAGCATACGGCCTTCCAATAAGGACTGCCTTTGCACCAAGAGCCAGCGCCTTCAACACATCTGAACCAGTCCGGACACCGCTGTCAAACATGAGGGTGAGATTTGAGTCTTTGACCTTCTTGTCCGCAGCGATATCCGCCAGTGCATCGAGTGATGCTATGGCGCCGTCGAGTTGGCGGCCGCCGTGGTTGGAGACGATGATGCCATCGATGCCGTACTCAATGGCAAGATGGGCGTCCTCGACTGTCTGAATTCCCTTGAGAACAATTGGCCCGTCCCAGAGATCCTTCAATATTTTCAGATCGGCCCACGAACGATATGTACCGGAGTTGATCACGTCAATCCAAGCTTTCGACTTGATCATTGTCTTTGCATTAGCGAGGACCCTTGCGGCGCCGTACACAGTCCCAGGCCTTCTCATAATCGTCCAAAGCTCCGAAAGCTTTTCTGCAATACTTCGCGAGTCATTCATTTGCATCTCATCAAACAGCTTGTTGAAGACAGGATCCGAAAAACCAATTTGGCAGCCTTGGCCCCAGATGAATGGCAAATACGACGTGTCAAGGTCTGTAGGTCTCCAGCCGAGTGAGAAGGTATCAAGTGTGACGACAAGGACCTTGTAGCCCGAAGCTTTTGCGCGCGCGAGAAGACTAGCAGTGACGTCTTCGAATTGCGGTTTCGGCCAGTACAGCTGATACCATCGATCGCCATCTGCATTCGCCACAGCGACCTCCTCAATTGTGCGCGTCGCAGCAGTCGATAGAACCATCGGCATGCCGACCTTATGGCACGCTCTCGCCGTGGCTTCTTCCGCATCAGGATGCAAGATACTCTGCACACCAATAGGCGCTACAATCAGCGGACTCTTGTACTTTGTACCGAACAGCTCGACGTCAACATCGCGCCTGGTGACATCAACGAGAAAGCGCGGCTTGAGGCGATATCGGCTGAACGCCTCACCATTCGCTTTCGCAGTAGCAGCACTACTTGCTGAACCGTAGACATAGCCAAAATTGGTGGCGGGGATCTTTTCCTTGGCGAGGGACTCCCATTCTGTGGGGTTTGTTGAGAAGATCGGTGGGCGGAAGGATTGGTAGATGTCGCGCTGGAAGTTGGAGAAGCTGGTCGGGTCTGGGATTGAGAATGGTTGACTCAATCTCTTGGGTTCAACTTCATCTGCCATTTTGTCGTTTCTTGTGAGTATTCTTCGATTTACAAGTTATTTTGATGAATTTGGGGAGTGTTTGAAAGTATGTTGAGGTCAGTGAGACGCGCCTCGGATCTTCCCTAGTCTTTCTCCTCACCTAAAACGTGCCGAGGTTGCCGATCCTTCAATCCTTCGCTAGAACGTCATGCTACATTTTGCGCCCATGCCACTAATATTCCGTAAGATCAGCATTTATCAAAACAGAATCTTTTATTATTAACATTAATATACTTAGCGTATATTAAGCCGCGCAGCCACTGTTGAAGTAACCACTATATTGATCTCAGACAGAACATTCAATTTCTATAATGTAGTATCTCTGACCTCATACTGTCATCAGCATAACCTCATCTATAGACTTCCTGAAGTCTAACACGCACCCTAGATCACATTTAGCGATGCTTCCCAACCTCCAATCATTTCATCCTCGTTAAGTAGGCGAGAATCTCTCGAGCAGCCATTTGCCGACCTTTCCATTCCGGATGACGACTCGCAATCTCCTCTGCCCTCTTTCGCATCCCCGCGGACTCCGGTCCAAACAGAATCTCCAACAACGCCCCCGCGAGCTCTTCCCCTTTCCATCGAGGCTTTGCTTCCTTATTAGCCCAGCGTCCAATACCGAGTAGCTCAACGCGGTTCGCGAAATCATAACAGTCTGTCCAAGCAGGTAGAAGTGCCTGAGGTATGCCAGAACTAATCATATTGTCAGGAGATGCGACAGGCTGCGAAAACGAACTCACCATAGTGCTTCATAGAAGGAATTAGCTCCCCCGTGACTCACGGAGCAAACTATGCTTTGCGATTCGAGGACAGACTTTGGCTCAGCGACGAGCCAGTCTGTGAAACGGACTCTGTCTCGTTCTATGTAAGCCTGTAGTTCATCGGTCACCAATGCCCATTCGCCAGTGTAAGAGTCTCTTTTTGGAGCGTTCCCTTCTTCGTCAAGTACGCGTCCCAGCTTCCACAAAATTTGAAGGGGCTTCCCCGCAGGTTGCATTGTATCAGCGTGTTCAAGGACCTTTCTGAAAGCTTCAGACATTTCATGAGCTTCAGAGGGATTAGATTTGTGATGCGTGCCCAGGTTGACGTATAAAGTCGGACCTTGGCTGAGCCATGCTGCCAAGCTTGCGTCGACTTCTTTGATGGGCGGAGCAGCTCGTATGATGGGACCGCAGGATGTGAGCTGTGGAGGTATGACGCTGAATGGGTAGTCTATATCAGGACTACTAGCCACAAGGATGGGAAGATTTGGTGGTGCCGGCTTCAATACCCCCAGCTCCATCATCGTCATCAAAGCTATGGAAGTGTCGACCTCCTTGCGGAGTATCTCGGTTGTTCTTTTCAATCGGGTATCTGTGAGTAGAGTGTATCCAGCCACAAAGCCAAAACAGATGTTCCATGGGATGAGGCTCCACGGTATGGGATAAGGCAAGGCCGAGCAAGCACTACTGCGGTTAGTCAAGTGTTTACATCTGTAGTAGCATGGACCACTTGCATCGGGTACTTCCACAGAGCAGCTAGCTTTGGTTGCACCGGGACTGCAAACTCTTTAATTGTATTCGGTGAAAGGACCATCCACCTGACACCTCGGTGGTGACAGAAGGTCAAGCCTTGCGTAAACAGCGGTTCAACGATCGTCAGATCAGGCTTGACTTCATCGAAAACCCGTTCCGTTTCCTTGTAGATATCAAGAAACTCTTTTGGGCTCCAAGGTATCATGACAGCTGGGAGAATAGCGACGCCTTTTGCCGAGTTAACGAGTCCCGGAGTCAGCTCGAGCGTTTCGAAAATTGCCGTTTCTGGACGCTTAGTAGCCGGTCCCCAGCTCGTTCCTTCAATCTCGTGGAACACAAAGGGGCAAGGTATCTTCTTCTTCTGTTGAGCTGCTGTTGTTTGCATGAATCTTGAGGCATCATCCACTCCGCTTCTTAGGTCCTGGAATGAGGCGATATGGATTTCGACATCTTGGCGGGCAAGACCGAGTTCGTGAGCTGTAGCGAGGACTACGTTGGCTTGACCGAAGTCACTATTAGTGAACAGCAACAGGCGTTTACAATCCGTCATCGTGGTCGATCATAAGGTCTCTCGATACGAGAAGAGTCGACATGAGAGAAAAAGCGCTTTTTGGCTTCTTAATACCATTTTTACGTAGGGCTGAAATAGACATGGCATGATCAAGGATATGGTCTGCATGTCAGCCACGCCCTAACTTTAAGCATAGATGGCATAAAGAGCTGTGCCTCTCTGACTCAACATTACCAAATCGTCAATGTTTTTCGTTTAGCCGCAGAGTGCGTCTTGTGGTCGCAGCTGTTGTGGAGTATGGTGAGATTTTGGCGACAATATGCTTACTGTTTTGGGGCATTTCTTTCATTTTACCCTGCAGCCGTGAGAGTTGAGCATCCTGAACCTATGGCAGCAGTCCTTGGCAATGAGCTTACTTCCTCAAGCGACAAGTTGCCCGCTGACCATTCTTAGTCGGACCAGGGGTCATTAGCACATGAGTGAGAATTGTGTGCTGCATATGAAATGGGTCAGTTTCATCCAATTGAGATGTAATTCATGAGGTATGTGATACCACCCCACAAAAATTGCGTTACAGCTGTGATGTTTGTTTTAGTCGAATAACAAATACCAACTTCGTTTCTCAGATTATGAGTTTATTCTTGACTGAATCGTAAAGGCGGATTATCAAAGCGGACAATGGCTCAAACCCCGTATCGCTTGAGTAAGCCGCCTATGACGTCGTAATTTATAAGCCGTGTCTTCCGTTCTAACCTTACTACCCGTCTGCCGACCGCCAGTATAAAGGCTATCGCAATGTATTCTCCCCGACAAACTCGCAAGCAACACAAATCATCGCCTGTTCAATCACCTCCCAAGAATGGCTCAACGACCGCGATTCGACGTGCCAGACGGTAAAGCCGCCAAAGTCAGTATCATCGACTCCAGCTTGAGACTATCGGGTATGCCGCTCACTCATCTTATGAAACCGGCTATGGAAGGACTCGATTCAATGCCAACACTGACAACATGGTCGTTTCTCGTTGAAAGTTCTTCGGGGAGGAAAGCACTCTTTGATCTGGTTGTTCCGAAGGAGCCGTTGAAGAAGTTCTCGCGAAAGTACGCTGATACAATAAGAAGAAATTCGAATTGGAACGTGGATGTTCCGAAGAATGTTGCAGATATTCTTGCTGAAAACAATGTACAGCCGTCGGAGATTGATAGCGTGATATGGAGGTTCGTAGTACGGAATATCTGCGTTGTGTATTAGTTACTGATATTCGCCTAGTCATCACCATTTTGACCATATCGGAGATATCACAACCTTTCCTGGGTCAACAAATCTCGTCGTTGGTCCAGGGTTCAAGAAAGCATTTTTACCTGGATATCCCGCTGACCCAGACTCTCCTATGCGTGAAGTAGACTTTGAGTAAGTATCACGAACGGGGTTTCTCTCTGAAGTAACTGACAAGCTTGCAGGGGCAGAGAGCTCAGAGAGATCGACTTTGAACTCAAGCCCTTCCAGATTGGCCCATTTCGTGCCGTCGACTTCTTCGGTGATGGTTCATTCTATCTTCTTGACACGCCAGGCCATGATATTGGCCATTTAGCAGGTCTTGCCCGTACAACTACCAGTCCAGTCACCTTCATCTTCATGGGCGGTGATTTGTGCCATCATGGTGGCGAGTTACGTCCATCACAGTATTTACCGTACCCATCGAATCTTTCAGAACATCTATCGCTCTCAGATTCTCTCCGTCTTCACCTCTCACAATGCCCCGGGAGTGCTTTCGACGACATGAACGTCGAGCGTGGACGGGCCGCTGGTGAAACGTTCTTTGACCCAGCAATTGGCTTTGATAAGGAACTGGCGATAAAGACGATCAAAGAGGCTCAGAAAGCAGATGCTCAGGACAATGTCTTCTTCGTTTTTGCACATGATACGACCATGTTTGGTGTTATCGATATGTTCCCAAAGCAAGCAAATGGTTGGAAGGAAAAGGGCTGGAAGGAGAAGACTCTCTGGAAGTTTCTGAACGATTTTGAAGCTGCACTGAAACCTTAGAGTATCTATGCCCTGCTGGTTGGGGTTGAAGTCAGCTAGATCTGCTGTATAACCACTCGCATCGTTATTCCCAATTCCAACCTTCCCCCAACTACGACCAAATGCATACTCGAGAGAATTTTGAGGGGAAAACAGGAATCTTACCCAATAGGCGTCGAACTTTCGCACGATGGCAGTGTATGGATCCTCGAAATGAGGCCATCGTCATCTGAGAACCCGGCCGCGTGGCCTAATGGCTAAGGCGCTAGATTTCGGCTTCCGAGCAAATCGAGAAATCTCTAGAGATTCCAGGTTCGACTCCTGGCGTGGTCGACTGTGATTACTTTTTACCCATTCTCTAAAATTAAATACCTCTTTTTTATTCCAGGTAGTGTTTCTTAATGCCCTTTTATACTAGGCTTACTTGCTTGCCTGTTGGGAAGTTATTTCTTATTAAGATTTTATATAATAGAAAAGTTTATTGCTATTCTAATTAACACCAGGAGATAGGTTCAGGATATAAGTATTTATATTACTTGCTGTCCTGTGAACTATAATAAAGCTTCCTAGGATGTAATCTCACAGTATGCCACATACGTCGGGCGACTCCCATATTCAATCATCGGTGAGGAACAGCCACATCTACAGTAACATACTCGGTAGCAAACGTGGAGATTGAGGTCGCTGGTCCCTCTCTCTTGTGCTTCTTGGTATCCTGCACAGGTACTGCAGCCTTTGTTGAAGCTTTTGGCTTGGTGGCAGATACATCACTTTTCTTGTCGCTTTTCTTGGTAGCTTTAGAGCCTGGGTTTGTAGTTGATGAAGTCATTTTGTTTATGAGGTATCGGTTGAAACTTTTTTAGAATGCTCGTAGATATAATAAGAAGAAGATTGAGAGAAGACAATACGGCTGGAAGGTATTTATATCTTTCACGAGGCTGTCAATTAGAGATACAGCAGAAGTGAGCAAGTGCAAAAATGAAGATCTGATGAGACTGGGACTCGAACCCAGGAGGATTGCTCCACCAGGAAATTGGTGTTAAGGTTGACCTTAACCTGGCGCCATAACCAACTCGGCCATCTCACCGAAGCCAGATGGCGGGTCGAAGTGAATCAGTGGCTACAACAGCGCAGCCAGTTTCCCGAGCATAGGTACATGCCCTCTATGATATTAATCTTGCTGTTGATAACACCAAGTTCTCAGCTTCAAATACGCGCAGGCGCCAATCAAACTCAAGTTTGACAGCGGTCTGTGATGAAGCAAGTTGCAAACGATGTGCATTGAGTTTCAGCATTCAGTGCTGTTGCAGAAGCTTCTAGGCAAAATCCTGCATCTCGAATAGATGCCGTGTTCCAATTCCCTGTGTTGACTACCTAAGAATGACTGTGTGACCATTAAATACCTCCTTATATGATTCGTTGCTTCTCATGGACCTTGAATGTGATGTTCAACTCATCGCACCCGCACTTACAGGGACAGTCAGTCCCCGGCACCTCATAGCCCAATTTCGACGTAGCGTCCTTCTTATCGGTCTTAGTGATAGATGCGGTGTCTTTGTTGCTCTTGTGAGAAACCGGTTTGTCTTTGGATCCAGAATCGGGTTTGTGTGCCTTCTGGGCCATGGTTGAAGAAGATATTGTGTAGGAATATGGACAAAAGCTTAGATAAAGTCGTCGAGCTTAAATGCCGAAATTTCTGGCTGCTGATAGTAATTCCTCCCGGGGGTATCCTAAAGCTAGTCATATACTTTTCGAGGTATTGCTACTGAGTTACGGAGCATGTTGTTGATGCTGCATCAGAGAGGATACTTGGCCGCGATAATAGATTGCTTCCTATTTGAAGCCAAATGTTAAGCATCGGAGAAGACAAAGCGCTGATTGTTTTTTGGATGTTGATGTCATTTGCCATTATAGAATCGTCCTTAATTCGCGTGGATAACCTCTTACCAGGGAACTTCTAGGCACAGATAGGCGATTAATGCTTATAATCATGAACAAACAGAAATTCATTACTTCGTATCATAGAAACATCAAGACAGATGCACAACCTGAACAGTCCATCCCACTGAGAATAAGCCGCAAATCATTACAGTGCTTTCTCAGTCTACAGCTCCCCGGTTCCCTCAGTCTCCTCATCTCCCCCAGTCACAGCCTCCTTCTCAGCACCTTGCTTAGAAGACCTCTGAGCATGCACCTCAACAGTGATATGGTCCCCAATTTGCACCTTACCACCATAACCAAAGGTATACCTAGCACCGTCACCCGCCTGCTTCTTCTTATCCCAGTTGCTAAAGTCAACAAGGTCATCTATTACCGTTAGCTCAAACCCTTTCACGAATCAAATCAACTTACCTTCGCATGCATCCTTGCCAGGCTCAACCTTACTCCCCGCAAACAAAGGCGCCAACCACGTAACAACACCAGGCGCGAAGAACGCGCTCCCATCAATCTCAGCGATGAACTTGCGCTCCATCTGCTTGCCCTCCTTGACAAGCTCCTCATGGTACTTGCGCACCGCCCATGGAAGCTTCTTATAATCCGTGCGCATGACTCTGAATCCATCGGGGTGCATGAAGCGATCGAAATCCCCAGGATACGGAAGATCGCGACCGTCATCAGTCTTCCAGTGATTGTCGAGGAAGTCCATCGCCCAGGCTATTTCCTTAGGTGCGCGCGAAGGATCTTGGACGGTGTAGATCTCAGCTTCGAATTGAGAGCTGACGCGACAATCAGTCTTCCAGAGATTCTTTTCGTGCGCGGCATCTGCGATGCGGATCTGATCCATTAATGCGTGGGCCTTGGCCGTGTTGCCGTTGACTTGAGCTTCAGCTGCTTGGCGCATTATGTCGAGTCTGGCAGTGTCGCCGATCTGAATGTCGATGAGCTGCGCCGTCGCCTGCGAGGCGAGCACAGAGAGGATCGCGCTGGTTGGTTTCATTGTTGTGGGTGATAGTGAGATTGTGATGTGAAGCGGTGACGGGCTGACAAGGCTGGATGTGAATATTTATCGTAACGGCGCTCGGTGATTTCCTGATGGAGAAATTACCGGTTCAACCGCTGAGCCAATGACTTGTAGTGGGATCAGCTCTTGGTGCCCCGGAGCGGGTTATTGATTTTACTGTTTGATAAGGCTGACACGGACGGCGCTTAGCTTGACTCGAGGTGGCACAGCTCACGATAGGTGTAAGATCAATGCACGCAGTCATGGTGGCACTAATATTAGGCAGTAGTGCCCATACACGGCCTGAGTCATTGAATAATCTGGTATTTTAATCACCAAAGGGAGAAAATGAACTTCACCCACTCTCCCGCAATCTACCATCTCAAATCTCAACATGTCAGATCATTCACCATGCGCAATTCTTCCAGAGTCTATCGAACTTCCCCGCATCACGTCTACAAAACAAGACTTAACACTCAATTACTATGGCCCCTTTGACGGCTCACTTGCTATTGAGGCCTCGAAATTCCTCGCTCGGAATACCGACGCAGTAGAGCAGGACTTAGAACCCAAAACCAGGGCGTTCCTAGAGACCACACAAAACGATTGTTCGGGCAACATCGAAGAGAAAAAAGCATGCTGGCTGACCATCCGCATCACAAAGCCTTGCAACGCATTCAAAATCCCCAGATGGCATCAAGATGGCCCTATGTTTCAGTATGACAGAGGGCGCGAGGACGTCGTGAGGAGCAAGTATGCGCTTACCTTACTCGGGCCATCTACGCTCATGCTTCAGCCGGACGAACATGTCTTCAAGACGCAGCACGAAGCGGAAGCGCGGTATTATTGGTGGAGGAATAAAAACGATGGCCCTGAGCCCTCTGAAGACGAGATGTACGACGCAGACGATCTATTGCGAGAGTCGCTTGGCACTGCATTCAAAGACACTCCTAGAGTTCAGGTCGGACGCGGTCAAATCGTTCGGTTCAGCTGGGGGAGGGATGATAGCCCTGTTCATTCAGAGCCGGATCTTGTCTCTGATAGGGTATTCATGACTGTGCTGTATGGAAGTGAATCGGAATTGCGAACCATGAGTCAGTGGAGAGAGGCGCCATACGGCGAATATTCTAATCAGTAGCTGTCTCTTGTCACGGGTTTCTCATACTTTGGTTTTCAGTGCGGGGTGCTCGGGGGATATGAGAAGAAAGTAGATGGGTCTCATATTTCCTAAGTCCCGGGCGTCATCAACTATTCTTCTTCTTGTTTCATGTTGCGCATGGAATTCAGATGCAACGTCTCAAGAGGCTATATGTGCTTAGAAGAACTAGGAATTCTTCTTTCTGGGGGGGCGTAAGCATGACCTGAATGCCAAGATTGTATATAAGGCGGGGCTGCTGCCTAACAATATCATATCATTGTCCCACAACCTGATTGATTTGATACTAAGAAACGCCTTTCTTTACTAAAACCACTCAAACGTCAAGGCCAGCAATATGAGCTTCCATTCATTGCCGCTTGAACTGGCCGAACATTTGTCGCTGTTCTGCGAGCCCCAAGACCTCTCGCGCCTGTCTCGCGTCAATCACGCGTTTCACGCTATTTTCAACCCGGTCCTCTACAAGCGCAACGCTGCTGCAACTGGTCTACCTCCTTGCTATCCATGGACTCACGAACACGATCCACAGCATTGTTGGACATGCCCCGCCGACAAGGCCTTCAGGTCATGCCTTCATTGGGCCGTCGATCATGATTCACTCTCTACGATCAAGCTGGCCGTTGCTCATGGCTCCGATGTCAATAAGATCAACGACGTTGCCGATTACATCCCTTCCGAGGAAGACCCTGACTCTATTCCCATTTGTGGGCCTATCAAACGGGCGCAGCTTGCAACGCCACTACATCTTGCTATCTTTCAGAAGCGCTTCGCGATTGTGCGATGGCTTCTTGATAATGGCGCCAGTACGGATGTGTGGCCAGACACGCTCTGCAATTGTCGAAAGTATGGAAGAGTGGTGAATAGGTATGAATGGCTGCCACTACACTATGCCGTACGCCACAGCACCCATGAAATCCTTCAGTTGTTACTGGAGCGAGACGTTATTCACTCGGTGATTTGTGATGAGGGCAACATCTCTGGGCTTCATTGCGCCATCGCAGAAGGCTCCCTTCCTGCGATTGATGCTTTCATTCAGCATAAAAGCTTCAGTCCTACACACCGAGACGCTACGGGACAGACACCACTTCACTGGGTTAAACATTGCAAAGACCAGGGGTCAGCCTGTGAGATAGTTGAGAAGTTAGCCCGATGGGGTGTCCCACTGGATGCGGAAGCTGAATCTCAGTGGGGAGATTGGCATGGGGGCACAGCGTTGAACATGCTCATCGGGAGGAGAAAGTTTGAGCCTGCGATTAAACTACTGCAGCTAGGAGCCGATCCTACGATACAACAGGACGAGGATGGTTGCCTTCACCTGCTGAGTAACTGCATTGATGGCCGTGACAGGGAAGACATGTCCGGATGTTCGCCGGAACGCGCGGAGAGGAAGAGAGAGGCCGGGTTGGAATTACTGAGTCTCCTCATCCAGAAGGGAATTGATCCAGGCAAACCCCGTAAAATGGACAGACCCCATGATCTCGATTATCCCGAACTCGATGACCCAAGACCATTATTGTCAGCACTCCTAATGTCCGACGCGCGATGCCTACAAATTCTTCTCGACGCCGGAGGAATGGCACGCGAAGCAATATACGAGAACAAACATGATAATATCCTCCGAGACTTCTTCGAATTGATGGTTGATGCTGTGCAAGAGGGCACATCTTTTCTAGAAGCGAGAGGCGAGATTGAATCGCGCAAAGAGTCTCTGTGTTTGCTCCTCAAGGGAGGCGCGCGAATAGACTCAAGAGACGGTGAATACTCAGCGTTGAGCCAGGCGTGTCAGATTGAGCAGGGGATCGGGATAGTTGACCTTCTGGTAGAGAATGCGACGACTAGGAATGTGGAGACGGAATACGTTGTTGCTTTGAGGGATAGATATAGGCCGGATAGACCAGTATGGGGGAAATTGGATGGGTTTTATAAGAAGTTAATGGCTGAGAAGAACCAGGGCGAAGGAATCCAGGGCACCAAGGAATCCGAATGAAAAGACTATAGTTATATCGCTCTCTGCTGACTCATGTTCATATAGGTATAGAACAAAGCACGGCTAGGGCTCAAGGTCTAAAGTTGCCTTGAGGGACCAAGAAAACACCAGACCTTAATATAAGGTGCTAAAATAAACTAAGTAAAGGATATCCTAAGTTTCTCTGAAATTTAGGCTTAATTTATACTAGCTTACCAAAGTCTTTTTAGGGTCGAGGTCTTGACTTTTCTTTCTTCCCCTAGGTTAACAATCTTCTAGCAGAGGCAATATAGACCATACTGAGAATTGGTGGCTCTATCTTCCCCATCGACCTTGGGTCTTGACTAGCCGCAGTTGTGACCAAATCTTATCTCTTATGAGTCCTGGGTCTACCGACAGGTTGGCTTCAACACTTGGTGGATTTTCTTGTGAGTCTTCCAAATTGATTTGAATTTCAATCACTGGTGGAATATCTTGCTTATGCTTTGGCGAATCCTTCACGAAACATCGTGTCATTGCTGGGCACAAGCATATGAACACCCAGACTGTAACGAAAGAGTTTCTGATCAAAGCGATAAAGCAACTCAAGCAAAGCGCTCAGCTCTAACTACCTTTACGAGGAAGAAAGATGTTCGGGTGAAAACTACCGACAAAATGACAAGCATATTTATTTGCAACAGTCCCCAAAGCCTTAGCCGCGAAACCCCTGAAATTATGCCCTCCAACTATTCTGATTCGGCCCTAGCAGGTCAATTAGCGCCAGGGGTTCTAAAAGGTTATCGATTTTTGGGCTCAATAGCGTTGAAAGCTATTGAGTCCCGAACGTTCCAAGGGTCCACCAATAACGCCCAAAAACACCAGAAATCCACTCAGAAATGTCACGATGAGAGAAAGCGATATAGCTTATTCCGCTTTGTCTCTTTACCACCGAAGATTTAGTGAGGAACTGCAGTAGTTGTCTGCTAGTTACCGGCTGAATGAAGCGCCTCATGAGGCTATTGAGAATTATCTGAGCGGTCTTTGCCGTAGCTAAATGAGCATCGTCTGACCTTTTTGGCCATAGCCTTATAAATCTTACTTCTCCTCTCATACCCGCCACACTGTGGTTTTTTGTTTGTCCCAATTTTGTGCTCAACCAGTCACTCATTCACGATGCGTTCCTTCCTGGCATTGGCGGCCCTCGCCGCCGTTGACTTCGTCGCCGGAAGCGCCTGCAAGCCCAGGTCCAGCACCACGATCCCCTCACTCGTCACATCCTCCACCGACGCCACCAGCTCATCGACCGCTACAAATGTCATTACCCTCCCCAAAGTCCGCAACTTGGCCACCAATGGAAATATGGCCGAGATCGATCCTAACAACCCTCTCTCTGTGCCCGACTGGGAGGTTGAAGGTGATGCTCGTATCGTTGGAGGTGCTGGACGTGAAGAGCCTGGAAGTACTGAGCGAGGCTGTGCTGCTATGAGTGCTTCCAATACTGGCAGTGGAAAGCGTGCTTTGGGTATCTCTGTTAGTATCTCACAGAGCATGTCGAACCTTGACCTGTCGACGCCTTACACCATTCGCTTTTACTACCTTGTCGTTACATCGCCTGCGGCCATCAACCTTTGTCAACTGACTGGCTTTCTCGGTGGTTCCGTCTTCTATCAGAACTGGGTTTTCAGCACTGGTACAGCTGTGTCTTGGAACGAGGTTCTCCAAGCCGTGACGCCTGCGCAGGTCAATGCTCCTCTCCGCATTGCCATGAACTGTCTGATGGGTGGTGGAGCGACTGTGCTTGTCGACTCTGTCTTTATCTCCAATGCTGTCACGCCGCAGAACATCAACAACTTTGCTGTCAACTTTGGTAACACTGGCACTGGTGCCAATCCTCCTCTTGATCCTCAGACAACAACCAGCTCTTCCAAGCAGGAGACCACATCGGCTACTCAACAGCTAGAGACTACATCTATTCCCCAAAATCAGGAGTTCACTTCTGTAACTCAGCCGCTAGAAAGTACATCTTCTCTGCAAAACCAACAGTTAACTTCGGTTACTCAGCTGCTAGAGACTACGTCTTTACCTCAAGAGCTTACTTCTGTCACCCAACCGCTAGAGACTACGTCTTTCCCTCAAGAGTTTACTTCCGTTACTCAGCCGCTAGAAAGTACAACTTCCCAGCAAAACCAAGAGCTTACTTCTGTCACCCAACCGCTAGAGACTACATCTTTCCCCCAACAATTAACTTCCGTTACTCAGCCTTTGGAGACCACATCTATCCCCCAAAAGGAAGAGACCACTTCTGCTGCCCAAGAGCAAGAAACAACATCTGCTTCCGTCCAGTCGTCGACCGCCCCTGCCGTAGGCACAACCAGCACAGCGCCTGAGCAACCATTCTGCTCAAAGGCTCTTAATGGAGGCTGTTGGTGGAAGCGCCCTGATAACGGCGACGATATGGTCAACTGTGCGAGCCGAGGTTCTTGGCCTGGTTCCACCGGCCAAGGTCATCTTGTTCCTCGTCCCGCCAACTACCCTCTTCCTTTAAGTCAGCTTTGGTGTTTGGGCTGGTGCTCTCTCTCCCCTGGCTGCAAGTCTGTTGCATTCATCCCAGAGGATCGCTCATGCCGTTTCTCGGAGCATCAAGTCCAGGATGCTGACTTCGTTCCTGGTCCCGACCCTAATGTGGACACCGAAGGCGTGTTTTATTGGCATGACCTTTCTTGCTTCAACTGCCCTTGTAACGATGAGCCTTCTCCTACGTCTGCCGCATCAACCACTCAGTCTGCCGAACCTACAGATCTTGTCAAGTTACCTGCTGCATCCACTTGCCCCAAATCCCTCGAAAATGGATGTCAATGGAATGAGAGGTCTCAGGGTGGCAGTCTCACCACCTGTCAATATAGGGGTCGATGGCCTGGAAGTGATGGCGCAGGCTTTGCTGTTGAGCAACCCCGTGACTATTCTACGCCCTGGAGTCAGATGTGGTGTGTTGCCTGGTGTTCCCTCTACCCCGGTTGCAAGTCCGCAGCTTGGCTGCCAAATGAGCGATCGTGTCGTTTCTCCACTCATTCACTCTCTGATGCTGACTTCGAAATGGCTGCTGATCCCAACTCGGATTCCGTCGAGGATGGCATCTACTATTGGCATAGCCTCGACTGCATGACTTGCCCTTGCCACGACGATCCTACTACCTCTTTACTTCCAGCAGAATCCACCACTCTCGTCCGCTCCGTGACACCTAAGCCTAATACACCCACCACCGTTACGGCCACTACCAATGCTGTGACAGGAACCCCAACACCTGGTCCAGTAGAGCAGCCCTGCGAATGGGAGAACGGGCAGGGTATCTGCTACAGACCCTTCGAGAAGGAGCAAGGACCATGTGGTGGAAAGCTCATGATTGTCAACCCATCACAGTACACAAAGCTACCACTTAATTGGAAGCCGGAAATCAGAGAGCCTGTCCAGTGTGCGATCATGTGCCATACCAACCCCGATTGTTACGCATGGGGTTTTGAGTGGAGCAGCAACATGAACTGTGTTCTTTCTCTCGGGCAGACTGAAGTTGATCAACTGCAGGTTGTTTCTTCGGGAGCTCAGTATCGCTGGTACTCCCATACGTGCTGGGAGTGCAGGGACTGTGTTACTCGTTGGAACTGGTCCTGGGATTCCTTGCCTGCCGGAAACTAAGAAGTTTTGATTATTGGTCACACTATGAATGGCTGCCACTACACTATGCCGTACGCCACAGCTGGATGATGGTGTAGCGGGTATATAATTAAAAGACGCTGATCTAACTTCTAATATTAATATCTTAATTTATTCGGTGTAGTCTATATTGCAGTTAAAATCTGAGCCCTTGCATGAATTTGTCAGGGGAACTAGTCAAATCATGCCAGCAACCTCACAACTTTGCTCCTTCAGACTTTCTAGCTTGCCTCTCCCTATCCCTCAGCTTGCGTCTCAGAATCTTCCCAGTTGGGCTTTTCGGTATAGCCTCGATGAACTCAACTCCGCCCTTCAGCCACTTATATCTAGCTTTATGCTCCTCAACATGGCGTTGAATATCCCTCACAAGTTCTTCATCAGACTGACTTGCATGGTTTGCTTTGACTACAAATGCTTTCGGAACCTCGCCGGCTCTTGCATCGGGAATCTGGATGACTGCGCAGTCGCTCACGGCGGGATGAGTGAGGAGATGTGACTCGAGCTCTGCTGGCGCAACTTGGTGGCCCTTTTCATATGTTCATCAGCCAAACAAGAAACGTTAGAAGTGAAAGGTATTGCTAACCTTGACTTTGATGAGCTCCTTGACCCGATCAACAACGACAAAGTGCTCGTTGCCGCTCTCGGACATGCGAACCAGCACCTCATCACCCGTTCGAATCCAGCGGCCATCAGCATCCTCGAAGAAAGTCTCTACGGTGGCCTTTGGGTTATTGAAGTAGCCAAGAGACACCGTTGGACTCTGAATCAGTAGCTCCCCTGGGCTTTCGTATTCCGTAATCTCTTTACCATCTGGATCGACGATCTTAGCCTTGGCTGCTGGAAGTAATGATCCAGTTGTGCCGACTTCTGTATCATGTTCGCTGCTTTGTATAAACACAGTCGCCGTCTCTGTCATTCCTGGCCAAGTGTCAGCAGCTACTCCAACTTCAGTCAATCGTTTATCTCACCATAGCCTTGTCCAAGACGCCAGTTCGGATAAAGGCTCAATAAATCATCTACTGTTTCTTTCCCAAGCGGCGCGGCACCGGTATACACAAACCTGACACTGCTCAAGTCGTACTTGCGACAGAGTTCCCTCCTGTCCAGCATCTGGATCACGATTGGGGGCACTATTGGAAGCTGATGTATCTGAAAGCGACTGACCGCCGACAAGAAGGGCTCGAACTCAAAGCGAGGCATAACGATGATCTCGTCGCCGCGGTAAGTACCCAAGTGAGTGATGAGCATCAGCCCGAAAACATGGCTGAATGGCAACACTCCGAGCATCACTTGCATGTCGATTCCATCGGCCTTCCTGGAGACCGAATCGAATGTGCATGTTTGTATGATGCCCGATATGATGTTATAGTGTGATAACATAACGGGTTTCTCAACGATGATTAGCGAAAGATACCTCGCAAGGGTGTAAGTCTTACAGGTAAACCAGAAGTGCCGCTTGAATACAGCAGATAAGCTGTTTGTCGAGCGCCTTGTCCTTTCTTCCATTGCAGTGGAGACAACTCAGGCAATTTCTCTCCCTCTTTGATTAGGTCGTCAATCGTCCTGAAACCATGCCTGCTTGTAGCGTTTGGCACTGGAAGGAGGAATACATTTTCTCGAGTGATACCAACTGCGTCTATCGCTTTGAGCGCGATGTCCAGAAGGGGCGCACAAGTAAAGATAGCTTTTGCGCGTGAGGCGCGGAGCTGGTGCTCCAACTCTGATGCCGACAGAGCTGCGCTGCTCAGACTGGCGATGCCATTCAAACGATGGATGGAGTGCGTGAGGGGGATGTAGTCAATCTATCTTCAAATCAGCATAAACATAGATCCATTTATGAAATACTCTACTCACGGTGTTGAGAGAGAATATGACGCAGACGCGGTCCCATTCCGACCCGCATTGCGAGTCGAGTTGAAGGGCTTTGCCGATGCCCCGCGCAAGAAGATCCTCTCTACGGATAACCTCCTTAGCTGTACGCGTTCTGCCAGTTAATCCACACGTGTATGGATGTCGGGCTTTCACAATGGGATACCGGCCATACTCTTCCGAGCTCATGAACTCGGCGACGCTGACGGAGTCTGGAGGATCTGGGTGAATTAGCGAATGCATTAGAGCTAGAGATATTTTTAAGTACCAATAGGTAGGTCTGGCACCCATGACGGTGGATAGAAGACCATTATAGCTGAGAAAAACGAGCGCTTCACTTAGTGCGAACTGGAGATGCTGCGAGTTAGATTGATCTGATAAGATCTTGATGGCCACGTTTCTCCCGCCTTGCGCCCTTTTTGATGTGACCCCGCATCTGAAGCGATTGCTTGGCGATCGGCGGGAATTGCCGAAAGCTTTTCGGGGATTTGTGTACTTCTCAGCGTCAGCCGCAGCTCGATATATGCAGTTATAAACTAAGATCAATTGAGATCACCGAGATGGATGGGTCATAAAATGGCGTGTAACAGATTATTTAGTCTATACTGATATATATGCTTCTATCCCACCCTCCAATTATTAACATTACTATCGCTCATCCTCCAACTCATATCCTCCGTCTAAATTGTAAATCTCATAATCGCTTAAGGGAGAGCAGCGGGGGAGTAGCTCTGGTCAGGCTTGACAACCTTGCCACCAGCGAGCTGCTTATCAGTGTAGCTGGGGTAGATGATCTGCTTCTTGCTGCTCACGACCGAGAGAGTGGTGAAGCCCTTGTCGGCACCGAACTGACCACTCCAGCCAGAGGTGATGGTGAAGGTGCCGCATTTGGCAGGGCCGCCGTTGGCCTTGGAGGCGGGCTTGCCCTTGACGACGTATTTGCAGGCGGTGGCGGCGCCGCTGCCGGTGTTGATCTTGAAGTTCCAGGTGCAGGTGGTATCAGCCTTGTCGCATGAGCGGGAGAGGGACTGGATGGTCCACTGGGGAGAAGCGGCCATCATGGAGACTGAGTCGGCGGGGGCAGGGGCTGCGACTGCGCCGGTGGCGGAGACGAGAGCGATGAGAGCGGCAGTGAACTTCATTTTGATGGTTGGAAGTGGAGGAGATGTATGTAGGAAGAGTTGTTTGTTTGTTTGTTTGAAGAGTGGTTGGTGATTGTGAGTGAAGAGTGTTTGTAGAGAAGATGAGATGAGATGATTGATGATGAGAATGTTGATTATCGCAGGTTGATCAGTGAGTCTTTATAGATCTCGCAAAAAGGTATTAATAGATTCATGACTTCATATCTCTCGGATCATCGGCTCCATAGTGTTGAGCTCTGATGTTCGCTCTAGCCGATACTACAGCTCATCAGTTGACGGTAACGTTTGATCCAGGCTTAGACCCAGCCTCACATTCTAGAACTCCAGTTCCATGGCATGACAGAATAGCCCAGGCATTTCTCCCAGTGACACTATCTGCCGATTTCCCGTCTTTTTTTCCGCCCAGCCCATTCGAGACCTGGGGAACCCCGATAGCTAAGACGAGGTTTTAGCCTGTACAAGTATAGCGGGATGCTTTTTCAGCGAATCAGGGCGTGATTTATTCTTAGATTCTTGAACCCTGCGCATTTGGTGCCTGATGCAGTTACGAGCTTCTGGCAATACGAGCGGATCAACAGGAACTATTGTTTGTCCCTTGCCCCTGCATTTCAACTCAATGCGATATTCGTCTTAGGGGACCTCGTAAAGCAGAGTCGGTGAAGGTCACGCTCGTGTTTATTGTTGAGGCAATCTTAGCGCTGCGAGGCCAAAGCTCGACCCGACCCACGTGGGTTGTTTCGGCGCCGGAGCTTGGTGATGATGTAATTGCGATCGCTGCTGGGGACGCAGAATGTTGAAAGATCGTCGTCTAATGATTATCTTCTCAATTGATGATCAACAAAACAAGATTGAGGCATGTCCTTCTTCTAGTCAAAATTTTACTCAGAAGCAAGACAATACTTCGTAAAAATTCTGCTCAATGGGAATGATTGAGCTTTCGCCTGTGATGTTGGTATGTAGGATAACTCTAACTTCTAGCTTAAGAGCGTAAATCTCAGCAGGGTGACATTGCCACTCAACTGCGCCAATTAGCGACGGTACGTGACCACCACTGCGTCTTGATACCTTGAGGCTTATGAGCTTTTTACTATGTGTTATATCTTGACCTAAAATGGTAAAGGATTATCTGTACGAGAAAGGAGTATAGAAAGCAGGAAAAGTGCATTTTCAGGCATATTGGTTTGCTGTAGGGTAGTGACTTTATTTGCCATTGCTGGCATTCCAGACAACGAAGTTGACTAGGCGCCACTTAGTAAAGCAAGAATGCAATAAGGCACTTAAAAATCTTGTACCGTATTTATTTATAGAGCGATCGAGCTGTGGCGTCTCTTATCTCAATCCGGCCATGAGATTAACTGATTTGAAGCCATCAACAGTTCGCCACATATTGAGATAGATCTCGGCCTCTCGGTAAATCCGGCCACGAGATGTCAACGGTAAGTCGGCTTCAAGCCTACCAGCGGACGCTGCTCATGAAACAGCATATTGTTGCATTTATAGAAGAGCTGAGATCAACTTGTTTTTTTTTT